TTCTAGTATCTTAATAGGTATAATTATCTAATGAATAAGTAAATAAGAACTATCAATGAATAAATAGTAGTATAAGTACTAGTACTTAATGAATAACTACTAGTATATAAAAAATTTGTACTATCATAATTGGATACATACTAGTCAGAACCGAATAGTTGATATCTGAATGATGTTAATGGCAAAAATTTGACGTGTTACAAGTAACAGCAATTGTTACTAGTCACTACTGAAATAAGAACTAGTATCTGATAAATAAGAACTAGTTTCAATTTACTAGGTATGAGTATTATAATGAATAAGTATTAGTATCGAATGAATTAGTAATAACTAGTATCTAATGAATAAGTATTATCTAATAATAAGTACAAGTATCTATTTAATATGCACTAGTATCTACTAGCCTACATTGGTACAAGTATCTAATGAATGAGTACCAGTATCTAATAAGAACTAGTTTCTAATGAGTAAGTACTAGTACCTTTTAAAAATGTACTACTAAAGAATAAGCACTAGTAACCAACAAATAAGTACTAGTAACATGAAAATAGATAACAGTACGCTTTATAGACAATGTTAAAATGGCTTGCCATACAGAGAGAGCTGTAAAGCGTGACCTCGGACGCAGCATGTGCATGCAATAACCAAAAGGAACCCAAGCACAGAATCTTGATCGAAAAGTTCAGTCCGACAGCAAGAAAACTTTGTTTATCTGCGGTCACCGTGTTTAATGCGCTCGTAAACACACAGCACTGCAGGAGCGACCGTGGCTGTGCAAATTCACACTTTTCATTGTCGTCACTTATTGACGTTAATAATGCAAAGAATCGGCTGGTTGATGTTAAGCATGGCCATAGATGGGAGTGGAGTGAAGCGGCTCACTGTCCGTAATGAGAGGCATGTTAGGCGGGCAGTTTCCTGTGTGGTGAGCGCAGTTTACACACGGCACGGCGTGAGATGACGGGATGAATATATTTGAGACGTTTGATGGAAGCGATAGCCAGTCGCCGGTATTAGAGCTGAACTCTTCGCCAACTTGGCCTGCATAAACCCACTGCGCTGCTCGCAAAATATGACGTTACAATTTTTTTGGAGCAAGGTTAAGTACAAAACAATATTTTTAGCCAAGTTTTATTAAAGTCACCAGCTAGCTGTATTATTAGGGTGTTTGTACAGCGTATAACCTTTTTTGATATTGTTTGAAAGCACACACCCTGAAAGCATGTCCTGAAAGCAATAAATTGTCATGTTAATCTGAGTTCCTATCCTAACAGTGACTCTGGAAAAGACAATTTGCCAGTCACAATTTTTGTCGCATTGTGCTGTTTAGTTCCACCCAAAGAAAGAAATAATAATCACAATTAATTTTAAACAAATAAAATACATTATAATACACAATAATATATAATTAAAATGATTAAAACTAAATTTAAAATGATTTTTTATTATATATTATTTTATATTTTTATTATTTTATTATTTATTTATTAAAAATGAATTATATTTTAAAAATAAAATAAAATGAAAGCTAAATAAATTAAAAAATTAAATATTACATTGCAGTAGGCTATTTTATAATGTAATACATTACATAGTAGAGCAAAAACACCAAACTTTTGAATTATATTTCATATACACAGAGACCTAAGTAAAACCAATAATTTTTGAAAGAGACTCAATATTTCTTGGGTTCTTCTCAGCAGTTTGTTAATGCATCATGATGTCCAGCATGTTTGAACTGCAGAAGGAAAAAACAAGTGAAAGAATTCTGTGTCATGACTGAATCGCTGAACTCAGCCGAGTTTTTGATGTGGCCTCCACAAACAGGCTGCCAAACTACAAGAGGATGATGCGTTTCATAATGCGCGGCCCGTCTCTGGGGAGCGTCTGCTCTTAGGGGACAAAAACACTCACGTACATCTATTTATTATCAAAAGAGCTCGGCTATATTTGCACCCAATCCGTGTCACACCGCCTCGCACACACGCACACAGCTGAGGGCTCTGGCCTGTTGTCCATCACATGGCCCTGAGACAAACACAATCTGGGGTTATGACATCAGAGCAGGCCACTGTTAGATCACACGTCACTGATTCGCCACATGTGCTCCCATCACAAGAACATCATGGGAAAACGACCAACAACTGCGGTGCGCTCAGTCTCCAAAGACTTCAAAAGCTTTAAAGGTGCATATCATGAAAATCTGACTTTTCCAGGTTTTAAGTGCTATAATCAGGTCCCAGGTGCATCTACCAACCAAGGAAACGTGAAAAAGATTAACCCAGTAACTTTGTTTTGGTAAGCCTTTTTCTGCAAGCGTCTGAGAAAACGAGCACGTCTGATTTTGCTCCCTTGGTGACGTGGCAAAGGGATCTCATTATAATATTACTGCCCTTTATTCTGTAAGTTTGCACCAACGGCGCCATTATTTTGATTTTGCAAGCGACAATGGTGTACCAGTTCTAATGTCATGGTGAAAGTTTGAGCAAAACATGCTAACTGTTCTGTCTTTGGCTGCACAGACGAGCACAGAACACTATTTAGAGTCCCAGCCTCAGAGGAGACGAGAGAGCAGTGGATTTATATTTTTATTTACTGTATATTGCTGCTGCCACACAGATCTAAAATAAACATGCAATTTATTTCCCAGTAATGCAAAGAATCGGCTGGTTGATGTTAAGCATGGCCATAGATGGGAGTGGAGTGAAGCGGCTCACTGTCCGTAATGAGAGGCATGTTAGGCGGGCAGTTTCCTGTGTGGTGAGCGCAGTTTACACACGGCACGGCGTGAGATGACGGGATGAATATATTTGAGACGTTTGATGGAAGCGATAGCCAGTCGCCGGTATTAGAGCTGAACTCTTCGCCAACTTGGCCTGCATAAACCCACTGCGCTGCTCGCAAAATATGACGTTACAATTTTTTTGGAGCAAGGTTAAGTACAAAACAATATTTTTAGCCAAGTTTTATTAAAGTCACCAGCTAGCTGTATTATTAGGGTGTTTGTACAGCGTATAACCTTTTTTGATATTGTTTGAAAGCACACACCCTGAAAGCATGTCCTGAAAGCAATAAATTGTCATGTTAATCTGAGTTCCTATCCTAACAGTGACTCTGGAAAAGACAATTTGCCAGTCACAATTTTTGTCGCATTGTGCTGTTTAGTTCCACCCAAAGAAAGAAATAATAATCACAATTAATTTTAAACAAATAAAATACATTATAATACACAATAATATATAATTAAAATGATTAAAACTAAATTTAAAATGATTTTTTATTATATATTATTTTATATTTTTATTATTTTATTATTTATTTATTAAAAATGAATTATATTTTAAAAATAAAATAAAATGAAAGCTAAATAAATTAAAAAATTAAATATTACATTGCAGTAGGCTATTTTATAATGTAATACATTACATAGTAGAGCAAAAACACCAAACTTTTGAATTATATTTCATATACACAGAGACCTAAGTAAAACCAATAATTTTTGAAAGAGACTCAATATTTCTTGGGTTCTTCTCAGCAGTTTGTTAATGCATCATGATGTCCAGCATGTTTGAACTGCAGAAGGAAAAAACAAGTGAAAGAATTCTGTGTCATGACTGAATCGCTGAACTCAGCCGAGTTTTTGATGTGGCCTCCACAAACAGGCTGCCAAACTACAAGAGGATTATGCCTTTCATAAGGCGCGGCCCGTCTCTGGGGAGCGTCTGCTCTTAGGGGACAAAAACGCTCACGTACATCTATTTATTATCAAAAGAGCTCGGCTATATTTGCACCCAATCCGTGTCACGCCGCCTCGCACACACGCACACAGCTGAGGGCTCTGGCCTGTTGTCCATCACATGGCCCTGAGACAAACACAATCTGGGGTTATGACATCAGAGCAGGCCACTGTTAGATCACACGTCACTGATTCGCCACATGTGCTCCCATCACAAGAACATCATGGGAAAACGACCAACAACTGCGGTGCGCTCAGTCTCCAAAGACTTCAAAAGCTTTAAAGGTGCATATCATGAAAATCTGACTTTTCCAGGTTTTAAGTGCTATAATCAGGTCCCCGGTGCATCTACCAACCAAGGAAACGTGAAAAAGATTAACCCAGTAACTTTGTTTTGGTAAGCCTTTTTCTGCAAGCGTCTGAGAAAACGAGCACGTCTGATTTTGCTCCCTTGGTGACGTGGCAAAGGGATCTCATTATAATATTACTGCCCTTTATTCTGTAAGTTTGCACCAACGGCGCCATTATTTTGATTTTGCAAGCGACAATGGTGTACCAGTTCTAATGTCATGGTGAAAGTTTGAGCAAAACATGCTAACTGTTCTGTCTTTGGCTGCACAGACTTCACAGACATAACTGACTGTTTTTGTAACTCGTGTGTTTTTAACTTAAACTTGTGTGTGAATTAGAACTTGATTTAGTACTCACATGCTGTGCCAGCCGCTTTGAAAACCGTATATGTGAAGTTTAAACTCATATGTTTTAAAGGGGTGGTTCACTGTTTTTTTCTAGGCTTGATTGTGTTTATGGGGTGCAGTCTAACATGTGTTAATGCAGACAGACAGATGACAGATAGATAGATGTAATGAAAAATAAAGAAAACAAAGGCACAACACAAATAAATATAAACAATAATAAAAATATAAATATACATAAAGGTACAAACAGGCACTTACACAAATAAATGAATGAAAAAAAACACAAATATAAGAAATATATAAAGTACTGACACTATTTACGTTTACATTTTTTTATGCTATTTTACTTTAATTTGAAATATATTTTAGCACAGCTGTAAAGCTGTATTAACCAATCAGCATCCAGGAGCAGAACAATTTGCTTTATAATCCACTGCAAATAACAGTGAAGATGTCATGAGGTCACAGGAAGTCTTTGGGGAATGAAAGGGCAACAGTGCAGATGGATTTGGCATTTTCTCAGATCTGATTGGAGGAACGGAATTAACACATCTTACCCATGGGGTTTAATGGGAGCCGCACTGAAAGGCCTCGTGGATGATGGGATTGCTGGGTGGAAGTGAGACAAAAACAATGGGAAAGGGTGAACAAAGCATCTCTAGCAGTGGTGTAGTGGTGCCTGGAGAAGTGGGTATACTCTTAATTTATGCCCCCATTTTTTTAAGCGGCCTAGCAACGGCCTGTGTTATAAACAGTGACATGTAAGTGTCAAGACTAGTCTTGCATATTTAGTTCACCCCAAAATGGGCCAATAGTATTTCCACATTTTCACTTTCTGTAACTTCTGCTACTTGACTTACTGGAGTAAGGATCATTATGAAATTAACATTAGCCACAAAAGGTGCAGATTTTGCAATAAATAATTAAAATGTAAAAAATTACATAGACTGCAGCAATTAACATTTAGTCAGAACCTCTAGTAGACAAGCTATTTTGTTTAGTTATCTGTAGGAGAATCATGATCTCCATTTGATACCAAAAAAATGTTTTAAATCGTGATCAATTTATCCAGAATTGTGCAGCTCTACTCCTATGTTTACAGTCTACCTGACTGTACCCATTCAGAAGCTAAAAAAACCCTTCAGGCTTCAGCAGCGTCCATTATAAAACACTTGTGCTTTTAAGCCAAATACGCACTGAAAAGAATCATTCTAGACCTGACTCTAAGCAATCTCTGATGAAACCGGTCGGGTTTTCTCTGAAGCTGTTTTGAACTTAGGCTACTGTTTGAAGGAATTCGTTTACTGGATCCTTGGACTGAAAAGTTTCCAGGAGTTTACCGGTTTAAAAAAATAAAATAAAATAAACTAAAAATCGCAAAAACATGCTTTTCCTTTTAAGGTATTGTTTTCATTATAATGTACTGATTCAAATTAGTAGTCAATAATTAAATATTATTTTATCACTCTTCGTGCCTCCTCTGACATGCACTCACGCCCCAGACCGACTCCGCTTGCATTCACATGATTTGTCGAGATGCAATTATCAATCAAATTTAAAGGGAAGCCGGTGCATCCTGACTTTACTGGGTATGGGAATATTGGCATTTATTGACATGTGATTTGATTAGCTAGTCATGGTGGACTGTCATGATTTTGGCTAATGCAGGACACTAATGAATAATGCACATCAGAGAGGATTTAGAAGTGGGTATACGCAAAGCCGACTGATAAAGAAGTGGGTATACCCTCCACTACACCACTGATCTCTAGCTTTAGTAGATGCTCTAGTACTATCACATGTGCATGAGTCATTTGTTGTGTTATGCTAATTCATCACATCAAGTGTGACATATCCCATTTGTTTGCACAAAACGAGTTATGCTACAGTTTGTGGCGGTTTAAGATGTTTTCTTAAACATCAGGATGACATTCACAGAAAATGAAAGGTGAACCTCACAAATCTAGTCAAAAACAGATACACTACTAGTCAATAACATTTACATGTTATAACACGTTATTGGGTATATATTGTCAATAACACAATAACATCAATATTAATTATAAACTTTATTAATTTATATTAATTAATATAAAGTTATTAATAAACAATAATATATATATATATATATATATGTATATATATATATATATATATAAATAATATTAATTTAACAAACAATTAAGCCTTTTAGACAGTTAATTTTTTTACATGGTAATTAAGTTATGAAAATTGTTAAAAACAGAATATTTCAATTTGAACATTTTATGTGTATATGCATGTATGTATATTTATGCAAATAAATGTTTTGCTATAATGCAAAAAGTAATATATTTGTATATATCATGATGTATAAATGTTTCACAATGTAAATTATTTTTTAAATCTTTTGTATAATTACCAAATAAATTAATAACTAAATTACAAATAAAAAATAATATATGTGGGAATTTAATGAAAACACATTTATAATACGTTTAAAAAATGCCCCACTAGACCAATCAGGACAGGTTTAGGAGTCACATGACCTGACTGAAGTCAGCACAGAGGTGAATGAGTCAATGAGAGGCTCGTTATTCAGTAATCTACACTGAGAGCTTTTATAATGAACAGCTTTCAGTCGCGCAGCAGATCGGCCTGGAACCAACACTTGAACTGCTGCAGCTGCATGTGTTTCCCATTAACAGGAAAACTCGACACCTCCTGGAGTCAAAGTTCCCTCTCCAAGCCGCATCTCAACGAGCCGTTTACAACGAGTTCTGCTGAATATAAGCGGGAAAGCCCAGGAGATATTATAGTTTAAGTGATGCGCATTTGAATTTATTTATCTGATGAGTACATTAATATCATCAATCTGCAGTCGCCGCAAAATCCTGACCGGCATTCCGCCGGCATCCAAACACTTACTTCACACATTCTTCGGATTGCAGCCGTAATGTTTCTCAGACCAAATAATGGTGGAATAACTGCCTTGATAACCAATCGTCTCCTGAGCCCCCACGGTTACAGCATTAATAAATCAATAAAGAAGCCTTCAGAAGCCTTGTGTTGCAGACAAGCAGAAACGCAGCAGTGGGCTCAGGGAGTCTGGATAAATGAGCCGTTCTGACAAGACGCTGCATTGCTCTTGAAGCACTGGGCTGGAATTACAGCCTCAATATTCTTGAACTTTATTAATGACTTAAAGCATTTTTTTCCCGTTCCCAGAACTTCCAAAAACAAATGTGACCCGAACGATGAGTTCTGATTTTAATAATGGTTTTATTTCTGCTTTGACATGTCAACTACATGACTGCTAAACTACAATTAAAATCAAACTTTTACTTTTAAGTTTAAGCCACATATTTCTCACCTGTGAATTTGTAATTATCCAAACATTACACATATTTAATATTAGTCGACCATATTATCTGTAAAAATGTAGGTCAAACTAATAACCTAGAAATACTGATTGTGCATTTTAATGTGTTTGAAAGACACTTTCCAAAGACACATTAATATAGGGTTAAATAACCCATCATTAAAATATAAAATAATGTGTTCATCGGTATTTGATGCAGTGTTGAAATGTTGAGAAAACGCTTCTTAAAACTGAAATGATTTTTGTAAATCCAGTGTTCAAATGATGGGTGGCCTCTCAGTTTTCTGTATTATTATTATCACCTGGAATGTCCACAAAACTGGAAGACTTTTTTAGGATGGAAAATTTAAAAGATGAAACAAGAAATGGGGCGAACCAATACATTATGACCAATGTATTGCTATTGTTTGAATAATACGCAGTCATGTAATCAATACAAAAGTAACTGTAGTCTGATTACAAGTATTTTAAAATGTAATCTAATTACACATACTTAATTTGTGGATCTGATTATGTAATCTAGATTACATGTAATCAGTTACTACCCAGCACTGGGTCTGGGTTACCCAGCGAACAGGGACATTCTGGCAGGGTTCTCTTGAAGTTATGAAGGAACGTTCTTCCAGTAACATTAATAGAATGTTCGTTCAAATCGGATTCACGAAAATTTCTTAAGATTTTTAATTTTTTTCATTTCTTAAATTCAAAGTAGCTCAAAGTAGTCTCAAGATAAGAGCAATCTGTTTGATTCATTTGTGCGCAGTCTTTTTGCGCTCTCCATATGTCTGCGCTGCTACAGTAAATACGTCCCGTATATGGCTGCGTTCATATGCACTGAATACTTCCAAAGATTGTGTTGTATTTATAGGCTAAAATTAAAAACAAGCTCCCAATCTGACTGGTTTTTGTAGAGTCGTAACTGAATTTTTAATTCAGCAAAAAGTCGTATCACACATAATCATGACCGATCATTGTTTACATTATCAGTCATTGGTGTCACAGCAGAAAACTGGTGCACATTGCTATTAATAGTCCTGCTATCTATTATATGTAGCTAGTGTTGTTGTAATGCCTGAAATGATTTTTGTAAATCCAGTGTTCAAATGATGGGTGGCCTCTCAGTTTTCTGTATTATTATTATCACCTGGAATGTCCACAAAACTGGAAGACTTTTTTAGGATGGAAAATTTAAAAGATGAAACAAGAAATGGGGCGAACCAATACATTATGACCAATGTATTGCTATTGTTTGAATAATACGCAGTCATGTAATCAATACAAAAGTAACTGTAGTCTGATTACAAGTATTTTAAAATGTAATCTAATTACACATACTTAATTTGTGGATCTGATTATGTAATCTAGATTACATGTAATCAGTTACTACCCAGCACTGGGTCTGGGTTACCCAGCGAACAGGGACATTCTGGCAGGGTTCTCTTGAAGTTATGAAGGAACGTTCTTCCAGTAACATTAATAGAATGTTCGTTCAAATCGGATTCACGAAAATTTCTTAAGATTTTTTATTTTTTTCATTTCTTAACAAATTCAAAGTAGCTCAAAGTAGTCTCAAGATAAGAGCAATCTGTTTGATTCATTTGTGCGCAGTCTTTTTGCGCTCTCCATATGTCTGCGCTGCTACAGTAAATACGTCCCGTATATGGCTGCGTTCATATGCACTGAATACTTCCAAAGATTGTGTTGTATTTATAGGCTAAAATTAAAAACAAGCTCCCAATCTGACTGGTTTTTGTAGAGTCGTAACTGAATTTTTAATTCAGCAAAAAGTCGTATCACACATAATCATGACCGATCATTGTTTACATTATCAGTCATTGGTGTCACAGCAGAAAACTGGTGCACATTGCTATTAATAGTCCTGCTATCTATTATATGTAGCTAGTGTTGTTGTAATGCCTAAATATAACAATTGATTTGAAATAACCCAATAAATTCATTAAATCATTCTTACTATTTGGGATTTAAGACGAGTCTTGGACTATCCTAACTTTAAGAAGTTATTTATGAAGATTTTTAAGAAGATTCTTTTCAAGAATTTGAATTCTTAACTTTTGTCTTAAGAACAATTTTAAGAAAAAAGATAAGAATATTCTTAAGAAGAATTTTTGGGAATACAAATATTCGTAACTTTTTTCTTATGTTAGAAAATTAGAAGAAAATGGCAGTTAAGAAGAAATTTCTTAAGAATGTTTCATGAATCCGGCGCATGGTCTTTAATAATATTCTC